TCTTATGTAACAGATTCTTTTTGTAGCCGTAAAGAAACATTTTTGTCTAATTCACTCTTGTCTCATAGCTGGTACAGTGATGTTTGAATATGGTATGCGTCTTGGCAGAGAGGTTCGAACTCTCCGGGGACTTGAGAAGCAAGGCAACTGTTACCTGGCTGCTATTAACTGTTTACGCCTTATTCGTCCAGAGTATGCATGGATCGTACAGCCAGCCTCTGGGGCAGTGGTACGAAAACTTTTCTTCGGAGGATTTTTGGATCATTAGTTGTTGTTGTTGTTGTTGTTGCTGTTTCTCCCTTTCAGCTCTTATCTCATTTAAAATGTCTGCTGAGGACAGACCTATAATCCCAGCATGCAGGAAGTGAAGACAGTGAGGCTTAACCACGTAGTGAATTTAAGGCCAGCCTGGTCTACATGAGACCCTGTCTCAAAAAAAAGTGCTTAATAAATTCAGTCGTGTTTATTAATATCCTGCTCATAGCTTTTTTTTTTTTTGCAGTGTTGGGGGGGTGGAGTTTCTAGACAGAGTTTCTCTGTGTAGCCTTGGCTGTCCTGGAATTTGCTCTGTAGACTTTGCTGGCTTTGAACTCACAGAGATCCACCTGCCTTTGCCTCCCAAGTGCTAGGATCAAAGGCGTGTGCCACCACCACCACCACTACCACCACGCTGCTGATAGCTTTTAGTGTTACTAGGCTATTGCCCAAGGTTACCAGTAAGTGCTAGAACTATGGATCCGGTGAAAAGCATATGATTTATCTACAGATCAAATCTATGACCTTGGTCTAAATAACATGTAGATAAATGAGTCCTCTTGATAAACAGCTCCATGTTGTTATGTGATGGGTACAGTACCCCTGTAAGAAGAATTATGCCACTGAAATAAAAATAGTTGCCAGATGTGATGGTAGACTCTGTGACTTTGAGGCTAGCCTGGTCTACATAGTGAGTTCCAGGACAGCCTAAGCTACATAGTGAGACCCTCACTAAAAAAATTAAAAAAAAAAAAAAATTCTATTGAAAATTTAAGCATGAATGCTCTAACAGTTAATGCAATAAAAATAAAATACTGTCTTTTAGCCAGGCAGTGGTACAATATTTTAATCCCAGGAGACAGAGGCAGGTGGATCTTTGTGAATTAGAGGCCAGTCTGGTCTACTAATCAAATTCCAGGACAGCCAAGGCTACACAGAGAGACCGTGTCTTTAAAAAAAAAAATGTATCTTTCACAATTAAGTCACTGGTTTTTGTCTTTCAGTCCGATCGCCCTGGAGCATCTCCTAAGAGGAATCACGATGGCGAGTGTACAGTTGCCCCAAGTGAGTCATGAGCTTCACCTCTTTGGACAGTAGCTATTGTTATAGTTGAGGAAACATGGATTGTGGGGTCTGTGTCATAGTAACTATATGTAATATAGACAGATGGTAACATTACTTAGATATGATACTGTAAATATGACACATAGTCGGTACATATGGTAAAATTATCTTATTTTGGTTTAGTTTCAACTTTCCAATCTGCCAAAAGTTGTCTTTAGAGGCCTTTGAAAATACCATACTGTCACATAAGAAATGAAAATGACTTAAGTGTTTCTTTGGGAATCTCTGTGGCCTAACCTAGTGGTGGCACACACCTTTAATCCCAGAACTAGGGAGACAGAGGCAGGCAGAGCTCTATGAGTTTGAGGACAGCCTGGTGTATAGAGTGAGTTCCAGGACAGCCAAGGCCAGAGAAACCCTGTTTTGAAAAACACACACTCGGGGGCTGGAGAGATGGCTCAGAGGTTAAGAGCACTGACTGCTCTTCCAGAGGTCCTGAGTTCAATTCCCAGCAACCACATGGTGGCTCACAACCACCTGTAATGAGATCTGGTGCCCTCTTCTGGCCTGCAGTCACATATGCTGTATACATAATAAATAAATAAATCTTTAAAAAAAAAAAGAAAAAGAAAAACACACACTCACACACACAAAAAAAGGAAGGGGGGGGGGTTTGGATTTAGGAAATAGCTCAGTGGATAAGTGTCTGTTGTGCAGGCATGAGGGCCTGAGTTCAGATCCCCTGTACCCACATAAAAAGCCAGGCATATGGTGTGCGCCTGTAACCTAGCTCTGAAGAAGAGACACTCACTGGCCTGCTAGTCTGCCCATTTGGGGATCTCTAGGTTCAGTGAAAGACATAGTCTCATAAAATAAGGTAGAGTCAGGTATGGTGACACGAGCCTTTAAGCCCAGCACTCAGAGGCAGGTGTACCATTGGGTTTGAAGGCGACCTGGTCTACATAACAAGTTCTAGGCCAGGCAAGGCTACGTAATCAGATCTGTCTCAAAAAAAAAGGTAGAAAGTAAAAGTGTTTATATTGATTATTGTGTTTAAGTTAACTCAGTACCAAACAGCTTCGTCAGGGTCCTTTATAAATGGATCATGGCTTTTCACAAAGAGCTTGGACTCCAAATTCAATCCTGCCTCTCTCACTTAGGTGGTTGTAATAGCTAAGTAAAGTTACCTTTTTGAAACACTAAGCACTCCCCAACTGCAAGTTTTATTTATAATCATTTGGTTTGACTCAGCTGTGTATATAAAGAAAGGGACATTGCTTAATTTTTACTGAATCCTCTGTTTTCTTCATTTCTTCCTCTATGCCTTGGAAAATTAAACTGAGAAACCTTGTCCCAGTCTCGTCCCCCCAAAAGTGAAATGATTTAATGTCCACTCAAAATTAACAAGTTCATGTAATAAACACTTCTTTATACTTTGGGTAATGAAATTTATTTGGTTTCTAGACAATCGGCAAATTGAAATTCTGGAACTGGAAGATCTGGAAAAAGAATGTTCTTTAGCTCGAATTCGCCTCACATTGGCTCGGCATGATCCATCAGCGATTGCCATTGCAGGTAGGAAGTTAACTTCCAACCAACTGGCACAATGACACAGGACCAGGCAGTGGGGTCATGTGGTAGGGAGGCCTAAGGCAGGAGTGTTGCTGAGATATTTGTCAACAATCAAAGCTTTTGGTCTCATTTGTCTATGCCCTTCGGTGCACTAACTAGCCATATTCCGTTTCCACAGGGAGTTCATCAGCAAAGGAGATGGTCACTCTCTTGGTTCAGGCTGGCCTCTTTGACACTGCCATATCACTCTGTCAGACTTTTAAGCTTCCCTTAACACCAGTCTTTGAGGGGCTTGCTTTTAAGTAAGTAAAAATTACCTTTTAATAGCCTTAATTTTCACCCGGGTGGTGGTGGTGGTGGTGGTACACGCCTTTAATCCCTGCACTCAAGAGGCAGAGGCAGGCAGATCTTTGTGAGTTCAAGGCCAGCCTGGTCTACAGAGTGAGTTCCAGGAAAGGCTCCAAAACTACACAGAGAAACCCTGTCTCAAAACTAAAAGAAAAAGAAAAACAGTAACAAAAAGCCTAATTTTCTAATCAGAGATTCTGGCTTATTTAGTGTGATACAGTAATCAGAAGCTGATAAACCATTATAAAGAGGTGCTGTGTTTGATTTATGCAAGAATTTTTTAAGTTGATAGCTTAAAAATTGTATTTTAAAAATGATCTTTATCAGGAGTGGTGGAGAGGTAAAGGCAAGAGAATCAGGTTCAAGGCCAGCCTCGGCTATATCAGATCATCTCTCAAAAACAAACCAAAAATCTTGATTTTGAGCTTTCTTGAGAAGACACTGAATTAGATCATAATGGTGTTCATTCTAGATGAGGCATGTGTTCTTTTTGGTCCCTTGGGGCCCCCTTTGACCCTTGTAGTCATTTTTGAAAATTGTTTTTTACTTGATTCTCCTCTTTCTCGTGCATGTACGTGTGCCAGAAGACAACCTGGGATGTTGTTCCTCAGAAGCTGTCCACCTTGGTTTTGAGACGGGATCTCTTACCAGGGCCTGGATCTTGCCCATTAGGCTAGGAGTGCTCCTGTTTCTACCTCCCCGACACTGGGGCTACTGGCATGCCACCATGCCAGCCTTTTATTTGGCTGCCGGGGATCAAACTTGTGCCCTATACTTGCATAGCAAGCACGTCAACCACTCGGCCACTCAACTGTCCCTAAAAGTTAATGTGAGCTGCAAGTTCAGCGCAGGGATAGCCTTGCCTGACCTGAGCAGAGGCCTTCCTAAGTTCTGCTCCTGGCACTTGGTTTTTGAAACAGGGTTTCTCTCCAGATAGCCCAGGCTGGCCTAAAAGTCATGATACTCCAGCCTTCTAAGTGCTGGTTTCACAGACAACTTCATTGAAGTTATAGCTATGGGTAACTGGCTTTGTGTAACCTTCTAATTTGGGGAGCTGGAGAGAGAGCCCAGTGGCTAAGAGCACTAGCTACTTGGCCTTCACAGGTGCCAGGATGCAGATGGCACACAGACACACATGAGGCAAAAAACACATATATATAAAATAAAGAATTTTTTTTTGATGAAACCTTCTAATTTTTTTTTTTTTAAAGATTTATTTATTTATTATGTATACAGAAGAGGGCGCCAGATCTCATTACAGATGGTTGTGAGCCACCATGTGGTTGCTGGGAATTGAACTCAGGACCTTTGGAAGAGCAATCAGTGCTCTTAACCTCTGAGCCATCTCTCCAGCCCCACCTTCTAATTTTTTAATTTGGAGACGGGGTCTGTGTAGCCAAAGCTGGCCTCAAATCTGAGATCCACCTGCCTCTCTCTCCCAAGTACTGGAATTAAAGGTGTACAGATTGTCTGTTGACAACGGATAGGCGTATGGGTCATCCAGCTGTATGGCTTTTAGGGGAAGGGAAGCCGGTACACTAGTAATGAATTCAGTGAGGCCAGAGCTAAATTGTCTTCTCTGCCGGATGTGGTAGCAGACTTAAGTGGCACTGGAACATTTGCTTACTGCTGTGGGGCCGTTCTCATTGCAGGTGCATTAAGTTGCAGTTTGGAGGAGAAGCAGCACAAGCAGAAGCCTGGGCCTGGCTAGCAGCCAATCAGCTGTCTTCTGTCATCACCACTAAGGAGTCCAGGTAGCCCGAGACTTCCTCTAGGCCTGGGTAGATTTACCTCTTGCAAAACTATAGCACTCTTTCCTTGAATAGATAACTTTTTAAAAAAGATTTGTGTGGATGCTTTGCCTGAATTTGTGTATGTGAACCATGTGTATACTTGGTAACCAGGGAAGTCAAAACTGGGGTTATAGGTGGCTGTGAGCCACCATGGGGGTGCTGGGAACTAAACTCAGGTCCTCTGTGAGAGCAACAAGTACTCTTAATTGCTGGACCATCTCTCCAGCCCCTTGAATAGAGCTTTACCCTAACCATTTCACTCTTATTTCTTGCTCTTTGAGGAGAGGGGGGTTATTTATTTGTTTTTGTTTTTTGTTATATTGAGTTTGAGACAAGGTTTCTCTGTGTGGCTTTGACTGAACCTGGAAATCACTCTGTAGATCAGAGAGATCTCCCTGCCTTTGCCTCCTGAGTGCTGGGATTAAAGGCATGGACTTTTTTTTTTCCCCCGTGCTGCTCACATGCATTTATTAATGCCACATTGTAAATGGTACTTAGGTAAGTGCACAGTGATGTTCCATGTTCCCACCTAACACAGCTTGCTTAAGTTTAGCCGACAGAATTCATCGTGAGTGGACTCGGGGAGCGGTTAATGATGGCCGTGGGCAGGTGCAGGACTGGAGTCTTTCAAAGCTTTACTTCTTTTATCAGCACTCCTGATTTTATAAATGATGAAGGTCATTAACCCCATTCCCATCCAAATTTCCTGGTAAACCTGGGTATAGTAGGGTTTCATGGCGACCCAGACATTCTTAGTAAGGCTTTGAAGCATCTCAGCAAGACCAAGGCCACAGGCCACAACAGAATCCACTAGACAGGGAAAGGTCACTGAGCACGCAGGCACCATGCAGGCTAATTTAAAGCTTATTGTTCTTTTCCTTTTTTTTTTTTTTCAAATTTATTTAACTTTTCTTTTTTTAATTTGTTAGGTAAACAGTGTTCTGTCTGTATGTTTGCCTGAACAACAGGAGAGGGCATCAGACCTTATTATAGATGGTTGTGAGCTACCATGTGGTTGCTGGGAATTGAACTCAGGGCCTCTGGGAAAGCAGTCAGTGCTCTTAACCTCTGAGCCATCTCTCCAGACATTCTTGTTGTTCTTTTGAAATATGATCTCACTATGTAGCCTACACTTTTCTCAAATTCTCAGTTCTCTTGCCTTACAGGCATGCAATGTCATACCTTCCTGTGTGTGTGTGTATTCGTTTAAGTTACAGGAAGTTGTAACCACCTGATAATTGATGCTGGGAACCAAATGTGGGTTTTCTGGAGAAGCAGCAAGTATTAACCACTGAGCTATCCCTCCAGCTCTCTGCTAAGTTTGTGTAGAGGCTGGAAGTTGGTTTGGAGAGATGGCCAAGTGGTTAAGAGTGCATGTTGTGACACACACCTTTAATCTCTAGGGAGGGAGAGAGGCAGACCAATTGCTGAGTTCCAGGACAGCCAGAGCTAGTTAGAAACCCTTTCTCAAAAATAAATAAATAAGTAAAAATGAATTAAAGAATGCTTATTGCTCTTGCAAGACTCAAGTTTGATTCCCAGCACCCACATCAGGCAACTCAAACAGCCATAACTGGAGCTCCAGGGCATCCAAGCCCTCTCCTGGACCCTGTGGGCATCTGTGTTCACGTGTGCACAGACACATGTAGACACATAATTTAATAAAATAGGGGCTGGAGAGATGGCTCAGAGGTTAAGAGCACTGGCTGCTCTTCCAAAGGTCCTGCCTGAGTTCAATTCCCAGCAACTACTTTGTGGCTCACAACCACCTGTAGTAAGATCTGAAGCCCTTTTCTGGCATAAAGGTGTATATGCAGGTAGAGCACTCATAAATAAAATAAATAAATAAATGCTGGGGGTAGTAGAGCATGCTTTTAATCCCAGCACTTAGGAGGCAGAGGTAGGTGACACTGAATTTGAAGCCAACCTGGCCTACACAGCAAGTTCCAGGACAGCCAGAGCTACATAATAGAAAGACTTATCTCAAACAAATAAAAATAGAAGCTGGAAGTTTATAATTAGGCTGGCAGTTCAGACCATGATGTATTGTCTATGAGATATCTCCTACGTATCCCCTTCCTCACACAGAGGGTACTCTTAGCTTAGTGTGTGATAGATAACCTATAGTCATAACTATTCAAGGCTAGGGCAAGAATATCACTTACAAACACAAAATTGAGGCCAGCCTGGGCAGCATAGCAAATCATTTCTCAAAGGAAAAAAAAACCTTGGGGCTGAAGAGATGACTCAGTTTTTCAAGAGCACTCACTGCTCTTCCAAAGAACCCAGATTCAGCCGGGCGGTGGTAGCGCACGCCTTTAATCCCAGCACTTGGGAGGCAGAGCCAGGCGGATCTCTGTGAGTTCGAGGCCAGCCTGGGCTACCAAGTGAGTTCCAGGAAAGGCGCAAAGCTACACAGAGAAACCCTGTCTCGAAAAACAAACAAACAAAAAAAACCAAAGAACCCAGATTCAATTTCAAGCACCCACATAGTGGCTCACAAATAACTGTCTGTAACTCGGTTGCAGGGGATCCGACACCCCTGCTGGGTACTGCATGCACGTGGTGCACAGATAACACATAAAGGCAAAACACGAAATTTTAAAAAATGAATCTTAAAAATTTTTTTTAAATACCCTTAAAGGGAAAAGTCTTTATTTACTTGGCTCAACTGTGATTTTTTTCCCCCATTATTAAGCTTAGACTATGTGGCGATCATCATAGTGTCCTCCTATAGTTACAAATTACTCTTTAGCAGTCTGCCTTGCACTAACCTCCACTGTCTACTTTGTTCGGACATCCTTTATGTGTTTACTTTGCCCAAGACCCCCAAGATAGTGTGAATAAACTCAATTTCTTCGTAATTCTCTCAGACAATCCTAATTCTAGTAAACTACCTTTTATGAAATGCATTTACACTGTATTATGCAGTTTAGCATTTTAAATGATAGTGTTTTAGAATCTGAAAGTTCTTGTTTAAATGTGTTCTCTACTGATATTACAATGTATCTGAGTTTGCATGATTTATAAACAGTAGAACTTTATTTGCTTCATGTTCCAACATCAGGATTCCAACAGCTACAAGGACCTTCTTGCTATGTCAAGAAAGGAACAGTCTCTCATTTACACCTACTCTATCCATCATGATTATCCCACTTCTTCAGTGGGAACAGTGATACGTTCATGAGACAGGAGCTCTTACTAGACTACACTTCTCAAAACTATTACAATGGAGGTTATGTTTCTATCACAAGGGCGGCTGGGGAGATGGCTCAGGTAGTTCCCAGCACCCATGCTGGAAGGCTCAGCACCATCTGTAAACTTCAGGAACCTGACACCCCACCCCCCCATCCTCACCCCCCACCCCACCCCTCTTCTGGCCTCTGCAGACACCTAAATACAGGCATGCATGCATATATATAGATATATAGACATACACATACATACACTTAACATACATGCATATACATAAAAATAAATCTTGTGCCGGGCAATAATGGTACACACCTTTAATCCCAGCACTTGAAAGGCGGAAGAAGGTGGGTCTCTGAGTTCCAGGACAACCAGAGCTACACAGACAAATCCTGTCTCCAAAAATTATATTTATGTATGTAAATAGATAAATCTTGTTTTTAAAGTGTTCCTAACACATGAGCTTGGCGGGACCATTTCAAATTATAGCTTTTTTACTCTTTATTTTTTTAGTATTAGTGGGAAACAAATGTCGTATATGGAGTTCAGAGAAGTTTATGGAGTCAGTTTTCTCCTACCTCTACTCGGGCCCCATGACCTGACTCCAGTCTCTAGACTTACTCAGCAAGTGCCTTTACCCACCAAGCTGTCTCACACTGGCTCTTAACAGTTTGGGATTTGTTTTTGTTTTCTTTCTTTCTTTCTTTCTTTCTTTCTTTCTTTCTTTCTTTCTTTCTTTCTTTCTTTCTTTCTTTCTTTCTTTTTTAATTGCAGTTTGGGGAGTGACATGTTTTCCTCAGGGAGTATGTATGGGGCAGAGGACAACTTTCAGGAGTTAGTTCTGTCTTCCACCAGGTAGGTCCCAGGGATCAAACTCAGGTTGTTAGGCTTACCAGCAAGCACTTGCTTGTACCTACTAAGAGATCTGCTGGTCCAGTGGTGGTTTTTGTTTTTTATTTGTTTTGTTTATTTTTGAGACAGGGTTTCTCAGTGTGACAGCTCTGGCTGTCCTGGAACTTGCTCTGTAGACCAGGCTGGCCTTTAACTCACAGAGATCTGCCTGCCTCTGCCTCCTGAGTGCTGGGATTAAAGGCGTGCACCACTGACCGACCGGCTCTCTAATACTATTTTTAAATCCTGAAGTTTAGAGCATCAAAATTTTTACATCAGAGGCTGGACAGGTGGCTCAGCACTTAACAAGTCCATGCTGCTTTTGTAGAAGACCAGATTTGATTTACAACATCTATTTGGTGGCTCCTAACTATAGTTCCAGGGGGATCCAACATCTTCTGGCCTTCATGGGCGCCAGAAACACACATGGTGTATATACATACATGCAGACAAAATACTCATATACAGAAAAAAAAAAAAACTGTTTTGTTTTCTACATGACTCTATTGCTTAGTCAGTTTTGGGGACCAGAACTAGTGATGTGAACTCTTTAAACTCCTGAAACAAAGGAGTTAAGTAAATTGTATGTAGTTAGTAGGAGAACAATAAATCTTAACTCATTTGGGTTTTTTGTTTTTGGGGTTTTTTTGTTTGTTTGTTTGTTTGTTTGTGCTTTTTTTGTAATGTTTTGGTGCTAGAGAGATGACTCGACAGGTAAGAGCACTGGCTGCTCTTCCAGAGGACCTGTGTTCAATTCCCAGCACCCACATGGCAGCTCACAACTATAACTCCAGTTTTTATTAGTTCATCTAATTTCTAGTTATCATTTAGCTGTATTACCAATTCAGTTGTTAGCTGGAGAGATGACTTAGCAGTTAAGAGCACATACTACTCTTGCAGAGGACCCTAATTTGATTCCCTGGGACCCACATTGTAGAAAAGAGAGTCAGCTCCCAAAGTTGTTCTGTGACTTCCACATGGATGCTATGACATAGGAGCCTACACACACTCACACACACCCTCTCCCTTCCCCCCCCCTCTCTCACACACACACACACACACACACACACAAATAAATGTAAACTTATAGAAACTGCTTCAGTATGTCTGCTCATGCCTATAATCACAGCACTCAGGAGGCAGACAGTAGGGTCTTAAGATCAGCCTTGTCTATAGAGTAAGACCCCGTCTCTAATAATTAATTCATAGAAAAGGAATCTGAACTCCTTTTTACTTTTTTCAAGTGCTACAGATGAAGCATGGAGGCTATTGTCAACTTACTTGGAAAGATACAAAGTCCAGAATAACTTGTATCATCACTGTGTGATTAACAAGTTGTTGTCTCATGGAGTCCCTCTGCCTAACTGGCTTATAAACAGTTACAAGGTATGTGATATTGAGGTGGAATGACAATTTGAGAAAATGTTGACTTACAAGCCAATTGTGGTGGCAGTACTTGGGAAGTGGAGACAAGAAGATCAAGGGGATTTCAAAGCCATCCATTGCTACATAGTGAGTTCAGGGCCAGCCTAGGGTAAATGACACACTGTGTCAAAAGATAGAAGAAGCGGGGATGGAGATGGCTCAGAGGTTAAGAGCACTGGCTGCTATTCCAGACATCCTGAGTTCAATTCCTAGCAACCACATCTATAATGAGATCTGGTGCCCTCTTTTAAGAAAAGATTTATTTTAAAAAATAGATGGAAAGGAGGATAAAGAGAAGTCATTGATTGATATTTATATTTCAATCACTATTTTGCTCAGTTTTTTTTTAAAAGATTTACTTATTTATTATGTATACAATGTTCTGCCTGCATGTGTGCCTGCAGGCCAGAAGAGGACACCAGATCTCCTTACAGATATGGTTGTTGTGAACCACCATGTGGTTGCTGGGAATTGAACTCAGGACCTCTGGAAAAGCAGCCAGTGCTCTTAACCTCTGAACCATCTCTCCAGCCCTTGCTCACAGTTTTATAAGCTAAACATCAAGAACATATGGCTCATTGTTTTGGCCTTCAGTGAGTACCCTCTGTACTGTGTTATATCATAGCAGATTGCACTGTGGTGGGAATGCACAGGAGCGTAACATGATCATATCATCAGACAGGAAGCCAGAGAGCAGTTCAGCCTCCAACAGCTCAGTCTCTTGAGAACTAGCTTAATCTCTTCAAAGATGACAGTGCCCTCCTCCATCTAAACATCCTCCACTTGGTCCCATTTCTCAAAGGTTCCTCCTTCTCCCAGTCTGTCACACTGGGGCATGTCATCTAGACAAAATGGGCTGGGAGGTGGTGGCGCACCCCTTTAATCCCAGCACTCGGGAGGCAGAGCCAGGCGGATCTCTGTGAGTTTGAGACCAGCCTGGGCTACAGAGTGAGTTCCAGGACAGCCACCAAAACTACACAGAGAAATCCTGTCTCAAAAAACCAAAAAAATAAAAGAGCAAAATGGTTTGAATGGTAACTTCTTTAAAATGTAGGTTCCTGGGTCTCATGTCAGACTACAAAGTCAGATTACTTGGGGGCAAGAAACCAGAACTCCTTATTTTGACAAGTTTATTTATTTTTCATTCGTTTATTTATTTTTTGAGACAGGATCCCACTGTAGCTAGCCCTGGCTGACCTAGAATTCCCTGTAAACTAGGCTGGACTTGAATTTACTCTATAAGCCAGGCTAGGCTCAAACTCAGCCTCTCCCTCCAAGTATGGGAATTAAAAGTGTGCAACACCAAGCCAAGTTGTTATTGCTGTTTTAATATATACAATGCTTCATGAGTTTATGTGTTGTTCTTGTATAGGAGCTATGCCAATCTTTTCTTTATCATTCTAATTTTAGTATTTATGCTGCTGAGGCAAGCATTTCTGACCTGCTTAGGATGTACACTTGAGTTTGAAGAAAATATCTGAAGCACTTTTAGTAGGAGAAGGAAAGATAATCTGAAAGTTACTACCAGTAAAATGGGGTTTTTGTTTGTTTGTTTGTTTTGTCAAAAGAACAGCCCAGTGTGGTATTAGACATTTGTAATTACAGACTTGGAAGAGTGAGCAGAAGGATTGCTGTAGGTTGAAGACCAGCCTGGCTTACATAGCAAGACCCTGTCTCAAAAAAAAAAAAAAAAAGACCAACCAGTGGTTCAGTTGGTAGAGTGCTTACCTAGCATACAAGAAGCACTGAGCTCAATCCGTAGCACTGCATAAACTGGGTGTGGTGGTGCACATATAGGGTCAGAAGTTCAATATCAGCCTGAGTGAGCTACATGAAACCCTGCCTCAAAAACGGGAAAGTAGAGAAAAGTAGCTAAAATGGGAAAAGTAAAATTGAGATCATATCAGAACAGAGAAAGCATCCTCACTGTAATAAAGTATCCATTGAGTACAGCATGATCACTGTAATAGAGTATCCATCAAGTACAGAATCCTCACTGTATCACTGTAATATAGTACAGCATCCCCACTGTAATAAGTCCATTGAGTACAGCATCCTCACTTTATCATTGTAATAGAGTACAGTATCCTTACTATAATAAAGTATCCATGGAGTAAAGCATGATCACTGTAATAGAGTTCAGCATCCCCACTGTAATAAGAGTATCCATTGAGTACAGCATCCTCACTTTATCATTGTAATAGAGTACAGTATCCTCACGGTAATAAAGTATCCATTGAGTAAAGCATGATCACTGTAATAGAGTTCAGCATCCCCACTGTAATAGAGTATCCATTGAGTACAGCATAATCTCTGTAATAGAGTACAGTATCCTCACTGTAATAGAATACAGACGACTGGGCTGGTGGTCCCTATAGACGGATTTTTTTCCTGTCCCAACGCCTGTTTCCAAATAATCACTCTAGAGGCTTAATACTATTTATAAAGGCTCAGCTGATGGCTGAGGCTTATTACTAATCTACATTCTACCACATGACTCGTGTCTTTACCTGTCCTCCAGCATGTCCTGCTCCTCCTGCAGCTGGTTGGTGTCTTCCCAACTCTGCCCTCCTTCTTCCCATCATTCTCTGTTTGGCCTTCCAGCCTAACTTCCTGCTCAGCTACTAGCCTGTCAGCTTTTTATTAACCAATGAGAGTAATACATATAATACATATTCACAGTATATAGGATTATTCCACAGCAGGTGCCTGCCTTTAATCCCAGCACTCAGGAGGCAGGGGCAGGCAGGTCTCTGAGTTCAAGGCCAGCCTGATCCAAGACAGCTAGGGCTACTTAGAGAAACCCTGCCCCAGGGGGTAGAGTGCAGGTGGGGTACAGCATCCTCATGT